AAAAAAAAAAAAAAAAAAAAATCAAAAGAGCAGATAAGCTTATGAAGAAGAGGCAATATACAAAACAGGGGTTTGGTCTTAATTTCTTACCTCTTATTTCAAAAAAAGAATAAGAAATGAGATCAGTTCTGTGAGGCATGGAAAAAATGGCAATGGGTGGGTTTGTAATTCGTGATGGCACGAGGAGAAGACGGAAACAAGAAAATAATTTGTTAGAAGAAGAAAGAAAATTGCTCACAAATCCCTCAAAAATCATTTCAGTCTTTGTTTTGTTCTTCTTGTTTTTGTCCTCTATTTCTCCGGTAAGATCAGTGAATTCCGACAACACGAGTCAAGTTTTCCGGCCAAGGGATTTCATGTATAAGAAAATGATGAAGTCTGTTAGAGCCCATTTGGCCAAAATCAATAAGCCCGCTGTTAAAACAATTCAGGCATGTTTATTAAATTTTCTTATTCATTAATTATTATTATTTATTCATCTTTTTGTCCTGTTGCTTCCCTGCTTTTTTTGTGTACTTGTCATTATCTTAATCAAACACTCTATTAATTTTGTTGCACAGAGCCCAGATGGTGATATCATTGATTGTGTATTAGCTCATAAGCAACCAGCTTTTGATCATCCCAAGCTAAGAGGACAAATGCCAATGGTAATTCAAAAGCACACACACACACACACACACACACACACACACACACTTGTTTTGCAAGTCAAGGTTAATAAAAAAGACATAAATAATAATTAATTTAAAATAAAAATCCTCATAAACATTGGCACGTGACAAAAAATGCTTGTGTGTTGAATTTTCAGCAAGCACCAAGGAGACCAAAAGGGCACCCATCATCATCAAGAAGACCCGCCAACAGAATGTCTGAAGAAAATTTCCAGCTTTGGAGCATTTCAAGTGGGTTTTGTCCGAAAGGAACAGTCCCAATCCGAAGGACTGTGGAAAAAGATGTTCTTAGGGCAACCTCTGTCCAACAGTTTGGGAGAAAATTAATTCGCACTGTCCGACGAGATGCTGAATCTGTTAGCAATGGCCACCAGGTAATTTATTAACTTATAAATTAATTAACTACTGCTTGCTTAGCAGATTGTATTGTATTATATTAAATTATTCATTCTCTCTCAAATTCTCTCGGAGTTTATTAATTATTTTTTAAATATTATTATTATTATTATTTTTTTGGTAACAAGTTTTATATGTCATTTGTCCTGCAGCATGCGGTTGGGTATGTGGGAGAGGACAATAATAATAATAAGTATTACGGAGCGAAAGCAAGTATAAATGTGTGGGCACCACATGTGGCGAATTCGAATGAATTCAGCTTGTCGCAAGTGTGGGTGATAGCGGGTTCCTTTGGGGACGATCTCAACACAATTGAAGCTGGCTGGCAGGCAATGCACCATGTCTTTCTCGGTAAATTCGATGCTGCCCCTAGGGGCACTACAGTCAGCCCCTAGGGGCCCTTGATTTATACACAAACACACACGCACACACACCCACATGGGTGCGTGTGAAATCAAGGGTGGTCGGGGTATGATTGCACTGCCCCCACCTGTAGCATCGAATTTTCCGTCTTTCTCTCTTCTCATTTTATTTTCTCCCTTTTTTATTGTTTATTTTATTTTTCCTTTTCCTACTAATTAAATAAATAAATTTGGTTAATTAATTAATTTATTTGGCAACACAACAGGTTAGCCCAGGGCTTTATGGGGATAGTTATCCTAGATTCTTCACTTATTGGACTGTAAGTTGCAGCAGGATTCATTATTATTATTCTTCATGTTTAATCATCTTAATCTTAATTAGAAGCTAAGGAAAAAATTAATAATATGGAATTAATAATAATAATAATAATAATAATAATAATAATAATAATAATAATAATAATAATAATAATAATAATGCATATTATTATGCTCATATATCCTAGTACTTTATAATCAAATCATTTATTTGAGCCCAGGGATGCCAATAATAATACGTAAAAATTAAGTATGAAAAAGAAGAACAATTAATTAATAAAAAAGACTACAATCCCGTCATGGAATGATTCCGTGAGGGTTTTTAGTCATTAAATAAACATGTAACTTCCATGTATTTACAATAATTATATATCTAATGGCTAAAACCCTCAGAGAATCATTTCGTGACCGGATTGTAGCATTTTCCTTAATTAATATCTAATTAATGATGATGCACTGGTGACGTGAGTACTACTACAGAGTGATGCGTATCAAGCGACGGGGTGCTATAATCTGCTGTGCTCAGGTTTTATTCAGACCAACAACAAAATAGCAATTGGGGCAGCAATTTCACCTACTTCATCATATAACGGCGGTCAATTCGACATTAGCTTACTAATATGGAAGGTACATATATACTACCTACTTATGAACATTAAAAACATTATTATTATTATTATTATTATTATTATTATTATTATTATTATTAGTGAATTGTCTTGTAAGCAAAAATGGAAAATATCTTAATTTATTTTGGATCATTTATTTGTCGTTATCATAATTGTTTATTTTCAGTAAGTTGACAACGTTGGGTAATGCGAATATAGAAAAATGCTACCACGGAATTATTTTGTCAAAATTTGTAACTGTTGGGAATGTAAATCAAACGGTTAGAAATCCCGACAAAATGATTCAAGATTATAGCATCTCAATGAGAATATATATTATATATAAGGTTTGGGAGCCGAACCCACCTTTAAATCATGCGTGCATATGTTCATCATCTATCAAGCACGCGCGTGGTGGTATATATTTATAAATTTGGAAATATATAACAACAATTGCTTAATTCCATTGGACACACAATTATTTTGCCTTGTCCCTTTTTTATGCTTTTGAGATATTATTAAATCTTAGTACCCTTCTTTTACAAGCAAAGCAAAGCTATACTTATATGCCATCAATCAATATCCCCACTCTGTGCCCCCACTTTTTGTAGCTTTTCATGATATTCCCAATTTTTTTTTTTTTTTTATATGAAAATTATTTATTTTTTTAGATGAATAAATGAATAATATTTGTAATTATTAACTCACACGTAAATATAATAAATATCATTTATGAATGATCCTGCAGGATCCCAGTCATGGAAATTGGTGGTTGGAATTTGGTGATGGGAATTTAGTTGGGTATTGGCCATCTTTTTTGTTTACTCATCTTAGAGAGCATGCAAGTATGGTCCAATTCGGGGGTGAAATTGTTGACAGTCAAAGCACAACAACAGGTCACCACACGACAACCCAAATGGGGAGTGGACATTTTGCAGAGGAAGGGTTCGGAAAAGCGTCTTATTTCCGAAACATCCAAGTTGTTGATTGGGATAACAGTTTAGTCCCTGCCTCCAATCTTCAGGTTTTGGCCGATCATCCAAATTGTTATAATGTTACTGGTGGGAGTAGTAATGTTTGGGGACACTATATTTACTATGGGGGGCCTGGCAAAAATTCCAACTGTCCCTAAAATTAAATATACAGCAACATACCATTCATCTTCATGAGCTATTCTTTCTATTTATATATATTTCTTTCGCAGAAATTATTATTATTACTATAAGTTGTGCCAGTCTAGTGTGTTGTACACTGGTGTATATAGAAAAGGTTAAAAGCACGATGCACTGTGTTTGTAGTTTTCGTCATTTTTATCAGTTTTCCATTCATTTTGGATACGTATCTAATGAAATGTTGTGATTCAACTCAATTAATTTGCGCATTTAGATCAGTAACTCGAATTCACAATTTAACATTGCGCGCTCTTCAATCCTGTAAAACATGTAAGTGCTAAATCTTACTGAACGAAACAAAAACAATGAAGCCAAATATATATGTAAAGGCTAACATAAGTAGTCAAACACGAACATTCAATTCCTAAATGGCCGAGCGCCTAAGTCCTAACCCTCCCAACCATAACACTTGATATGCACGAGGTTAACTAACTAATTACCTTAGACTAAAAGTTAAAAACTTTAAGCGGCACAAAGCTTCCTAACCAAATTACTTGAGACCAAAGACACCAACTTTCAGCACAAGAAAATGATGAAATTCTCACGATAATATATTCCAATAGAGTTCCAACGGTAATTCTAATTGATATTTCAATGCTGTTATTTCCGTTTGAATTATTCCAACGGAAATTTCAACAAAAAATATTTCGTTGGAATGAACTTTCCATTGGAATTTCCATTGAATTTTGACGATTCCAACGATAGATTTTTCAACGGTGATGGAAATAAAAATTCCAACGGAAATTCTTATGGTGAAAAGCCGTTGGAAATACAGTCGTTGCAATCATTAAATTCCATCTATAATTCCAATGAAAATTACATTCCAACGAAATATTTTCGTTCGGATTTCTGTTAGAATAATTCCAACGGAATATTTTCGTTGGGATTTCCGTCAGAATAATTCCAACGGAAGCTATATCATTGAATTTCCATTGGATATATTACCATAGGATTTTCTATTGGAATATATTATCATATGATTTTTCGATGGAATATACAATATTTTTTGTTGTGTGGTAAGCAATCTTGATGTCGTTTAAGCAAGGTCTCGAGTTCGAGTCCTTGTGGATGCAGAAAACCCTTGTTGAGAGACTCACCCACCATTGCCAGGTGTGCGAACCGTGTCGACCAACGGATTAGTCGGGGCATAGTTCCGGCCAGATACCGTGGCTGGCTACTAAAAAAGAATCGTAAATAAAGGTGGAATAATCAAAGTAATGAATTTTAAAACTATATATTCACCCTTCTATTGAGTTCTTGGAAGGAATAAGATTAAAAAAGACTGAATCTTGCATAAAAACCAAAAATGATTAAAATCAAGTTTGGAGCTCAAACTTCACACTAGAGAAATTACTAAAGAAAAAGAGAAAAACTGAAAATTAAAGTGTCAAAACGAGAAATGATCCCAAATTGCAAATGGCAATTTGTTTTTATACTCTATGCTCAAATACACAGTGAGAAGTTCACATTAAATGAAAAACACTCGGGGCCAGCTAATAGTCACTACCCGAAATTGTTTTTTATTGGGATTTATGAGAATTTCGTTATGTACAAGTCACGAATTCAATATAAAACCTAAACATATGCGCAACGGATCTAAAAGTTTGACGTAAAAAACTTATGGCTTAAATTTTTATGAATCTGACGGATTCGGGTTGACCGGGAACAACACACGAGGAAATTGTATCGAACGGCGGGATCAGGTCGGTCGTGTGACGCATGGGTCGGGTCGTCGAGCGGATTGCGGCGTCGGGCTGGGTGGCGCGTCACGGGGCTGGTCGTCGCAGCTCCGGTTGGTCACGACGGCGATCGACGCGGCTAGTCGTCAGCTGTCGTGGGTCGTCGGCGGCGGTCCGGTGCTCACGGCTGTCGGCGATCATCTTCTCCGGGGTTCTTGAATATATATCTCAATTACCTTGGGATCTTCTACCGTATTACTCAAACACCTCTTCAACTTGTATCAGTGGAACAACAAGAAGAAGATAAAGTTCGAACAAAAATCAGAGAGAGAGAGAGAGAGAGAGAGAGAGAGAGAGAGAGAGAGAGAGAGAGAGAGAGAGACGCATGTTGTATATTACACACTTAGGAGAATTCTGATATCTTCTTCTCTTTTCCATGAGCCTAATGATGTATATATAGAGCTACAGTAGAAACCCTTATGTTATTAGGAATAGGGCTTCTTAAGGAATGGACTAACTCTGGGCATGGGCCACTCCTCAAATTACTTAAATAATATTATGGGTCACTAACATAATATTATTGCACTCACTTTTTCTAGCTCAAATTACAATTGAGACTCCAATATTAATTACCTGAATCACCTCCCCATGTTTATGATATAATGTTCATTAATTAATTTGATTACTGACAATCAAGAGTTAATTAATATATTATTATTTCACCGAATCTAACACTCGTTCATCACATTATTACTATGCTTGAATTTAATCCAGTTGTAGAGTTTAGCATAATAATCGTTCATGAACCCACTTCGAGGACATCATCAAACTAACGCACATGGTGACTGTAAATATCCTAACAACACACCATACATGCAACAATATTACCCAAGACATTATGATTATTAGTCCAGCGAACTGAACCTCACCCAAGTGAATCAAAATAAAATATAATGCATATATATGTTTGTTTAATATCTTACGGGTTAAGAGAACGCATTAATTAATCGAGACCTAGTTCGTTTACGACGATCAGTATAAAACGAACTTCCCCCCTCTAGGATCTTGTTCAATACATAAACGTACTAGTGCAACTAATCAGTCAAGACCAATTGTATTGTTAACACTACAGCCGTTCGGATGGGGTGTTTATATCCATCTAGGTTGTGAAACACTAATTATTGTTTCGTAAGTAACTGATAGAATGATCTTCTGTTTGCCCGATGACGATACATTCTATCTAAGTGCAAAACAACAGAACATGGAACTTGTTTAATCAAACATGATTCTCATTCATAAAGGGTAAAAGTGTAATATCATTCAAAGCCAAGCTTTTAGTATATAACACTAACAATCTTCCACTTATACTTAAAGCTTTCGCTTTTACATCTATAGTCCTATCAATCCATTATTCTAAAAGAACTATGTCGATCCTATGGCCATACACCAGACTCCCATTCATTCCACGTGTTTGACGAAGACCTTCCCAGACAAACTCTTTGTGAAAGGATCAGCTAGGTTGTCCTCTGATGCAATCTTGGCAACATCAACGTTTCCTCTACCAACTATATCTCGTATCAGATAGTACTTTCTCTCTATGTGTTTCCTTGCTCTGTGGGCTCGTGGTTCCCTTTAGTTCGCTACTGCTCCACTGTTATCATAGTACACAGTGATACCACGTGGTAAACTCGAAATCACCTATAAGTCCACTAAGAAGTTTCTGAGCCAAACTGCCTCTTTCGCTGCCTCTGAGGCTGCGATGTACTCGGCTTCCATGGTGGAGTATGCCTCTTAACACTCCTCCATGAAATGGCTCCACCTCCCAAGGTAAACACATAACCTGAGGTTGACTTACTCTCGTCCTTGTTGACGGGATATCAGAATCGTTGTAACCTAGAGGTAACAAGCTGTATGCACGGTAAACTAACATGTATTCCTTAGTCCTTCTCAGGTACTTGAGTATATGTCTCACCGCAGACAAGTGTTTCCATCCCTAATTACTTTGATATATACCATGCCAACGACGTAGCTAATATCGGGCCTCGTACATAACATAACATACATGAGTTCCTACTGCTGAAGCATAAGGAACTGTCTTCATGTCTTCTATCTCTTAAGATGTCTTAGGAGACATCTCCTTGGATAGACTTATTCCACTTCTGAAAGGCAATACTTTTCCTGTAATCCTACATGCTGAACCTAGTCAAGACAATATCTACGTATGAACAATGGGATAAGCACAACATTCTCTTCTTATGGTCACGAATGACCTAATACCAAGAATGTGTCCTGCTTCACTTTAGTCTTTCATTTCAAACTGCTTAGACAACCACACCTTTACGTATGATAACTCCTTCTTATTGTTTCCAATAAGAAGTATGTCATCTACGTAAAGCAAAAGAAACACCACCACGCTCTCACTGACTTTGTTTTACACACAGTGCTCATCCGGATATTGAGTGAACTCGTATGACTGGATCACCTCATTGAACCGGATATTCCAAAATCTCGAAGCTTGCTTCAGTCCATAAATAGACCGTTTAAGATTACACACTAGATTCTCATGTCCCTTAGCAATGAACCCTCTGCTTGTTGCATATACTTTCTGATGGTTTCCGTTGAGGAAAGTCGTCTTGACATCCATCTTGCATAACTCATAATCCATATGAGCAGCTACAACAAAGAGAATCCGAATGGACTTGAGCATGGCTACTGGTGAAAAGGTCTCATCAAAGTCTATACCCTCTATCTGGGTATAACCTTTCTCAATAAGCCTAGCTTTGAAGGTTCCACCTTCCCATCTAATCCTCCATTTCTCTTATAGACCCACTTGCATCCAATGGGTCGTACCCGACCCCTCCCCCCCCCAATCAGGTGGTTCTAAATGATCCCAGACTTGATTAGAGTCCATTGACCCCATTGTAGCTTTCATTGAATCATTCCATAAATATGAATCTTTATCTTCGAGTGCCTCCTTCGAGTGCCTCGTTGTAGGTCATTGGGTCCGATTCTAGGTTTCTTAGAACTGAGTTCGATGACTCTCCAAGACCTATCCATCGGTCGGGTAAATTAGAAATCCTCCCCCTACGACGAAGTACTGTCTGCACTGCACTCTCAGTGTGTCATGTTGCAGTATTATGTGATGCATCTACTTGTGCCCTCAATGGGGAATTATCGACTTCACTTCTCAACTCCTCTAAGACAAGTATACTCGTGAGCTTGTGATTCATAATATAGTCTTCTTCCAAGAATCTAGCATTCGTACTAACGATCACCTTCGG